AGATTAGTTAAAGTGTAACACCCCCAAATTGTTTCACGTGTTCTTGGTAGATTAAAAATGAATTCATTAAGGTGACGATGACATCGCACTCCTTTTGAAACTTTGCATATCTCATTGCCGCTACAAATAATACTTGTCATACTGAGCATGTATCTAATTGACCGATGTCTTTGAGTAAGACCAGGTGTCTAAGTGGCACGACACTATAAAGTAATGTATTTTGATCTTAAATGTTAGGAGTCAATCGGTGGGTAATCCTACTTAGCTTCGCGTTTATCAGCACTCATTTGCAAGGTGTATCCTAGACCTTGAGGGAACTTATATCTCTTTTGATATATAAACCCATCTCAATCTGTGCTAGGCTATTCACACCAAAAAGAAAGGAAACACGTATCTACCTAAGGTTTCCTGTTGATTGTGTCGTAATACCTGAAACAAATATGCGATAATCTTTATCGGATCCGCACATAAAGTGAATTTGTTCAACTGGCAGGTTTATGAACAAATAATCAATCTGACGTCACTTCTTATCACAGATAGAGGTTGGCTAGCGAACTATTGAAAAAGAGTGATCATGAAATAGCTGTTTCGACCTAGTTTGTCAATTGTCAAAAGCATTCACCTTCATAAAAACAAAAACCATAGCATTCAACTGGTGATGGAAAACCTGGTTGATACACATTTTACAGCTTTAGTTAGTTTTCGAGATAGCGTAATCAGCAGCAAATACCATCTATCGCCAATTCCATCGGTTATATAATATTACCATTGAAGCATCTAGAAATCCGTCTCAAAAATAGTGAGTATATCGAACTTTGATAGGAATGCGTGGATAAAATTCAGTTTTCTCCTAGAGGAATAAAGGAATACTAACACACCATAAAGACCATTCAGACGCTGGATCTCATATGGTAAACGATCAATTCCTTGAATAATAAACATATAACTTTTCCACAAACGTCAGCAAGAGTTTGGCTAAACTGTGTACAGAATCATGATAAGTAATTCTAGAATTCTGTCTCAAATGGCTTTCATTTTTTGCTTATAAGAATAGTATAGCTTCTCAAATTACATAAAGTTGAATTCTCTGACAGTTTAGACATTCAACTAGTTTTTATTCCGTCTGACAGGAAACATAACTTAAGCAGGACATGGCGGCCCTCAAATGTCACAGCAAAAACACATTTAAGGCAATGTGACACACCGCTATTCACTTTCTATGTTGTTTTTAATCGAAAAATGGATATTTCCGTAGAAGTAATTATACATTTCACTTTATTCTGAAGTATGATGGAAACTAATCTCTTTGAAGCAGAAATAAAAGTATGTGAAACAAGATTTAATGGGTTTCATAAAAAAATTTCAGCCGAACACTCTGAACACTTGATTACTTAGGCTGTGATGTAATTAATTCAAAAAGCACATAGATTTTAAGATGACGAAAAAGTGTGGCAACATAAAGGTGAAGAAATTTTCCGTGAACAGAATAAAGTAGATGTATGAAAAGGTTGACAGAAATATGAAAGTTGACACTGAAAAGTTGTATCGAATTAGGCATAGTTACGTTATCTTACAAATGGAACTCGTGATAACCAAACAAGAAGCGATCAACTGTAATAAATCTGTTTATTAAATGGAATAAGCTGCTAAAACGCATAGGGATAAAACTAGAGCAAAAATAACTAACTACTTATTGTAGTAGCTGATTAAACATTTTGTGAGACTATCTAAGGTAACTCTGATTTGACGGACTGGTATTATTGTTACTTGGTGGTGATCAAACATAAAACGAATTCCTTGGTTGTAGTAGAACTCAGACCATCAGTCTCTGGTTCGCTAACACAGCTTACAAGAAAATGAGGTCAAATACATAGCTACTGTCAAGGTTTTAACTCCAACTCGATAATCAAGGGTTTTGACCGGCAGTCATGTGAATGCATGATAATGTAAGCATCTGGTTGATGTACAAATCCTACGGTCACCTAAGTTTTCATTCCATCTTCTACCATTACTCTTTGTTGTTTTAGAAAGCCAAAGTACACTGAATTTCCCAACATAACACATTTAGAGAAACCAATAATTATTTTCTTCGAAAATGGTTTGTTTGTAAACCTGAGCTACAAGATCTTTTCTGACTACAAACATTTACTTATTCGCTTGTTTTCTGACCATTTAAAGGGATTGGAAATGCCCAAAGTCAGCAAGATGTTCAGCTATGAAATTTCTTCAAATCACTTTAAGAGTATTTATTTATTCTTCTTGGGGCTCAACCATATAGGTAGAGGTCTCGGTAACAGCTGAAAATGCTACTAAGGCTGATTCAGAACAACTACAACTTTCTGCAGCTCACAGAGTATTGGTATATAGACTCGAATCAAGAAGGATTCTGTAATTACAAGCATTTTCTCATCCTATCGCCTACTGGTTACCGTATACTAGTTAGGCATAATACCGATCAATTTTATAGCCCCGTCAAATCTTTCCACCGATCTGATTGATATTGTTAAGAAAATCTACTTTTGTTTGTTCGCTTTGTTCATCGTCTTTGTTGCAAATATGCAAATATCTCTTTCTTTATTACTTCATGATAATCAAGTACGCAGAGTATTCACCTATTCTATGAATTTATTAAATCCTAATTTCTTTGACTTGTTTGCATGCGTGAAAACGGAGCCGTCTACTTAAAAAGTATATTGCTTATTCCCTGAGGGTTTTTTCAGGCTGCCATTTAAGTGAGTTACACTTAAAAGTCTGTTCGTCGTAATCATATCCATTTCTCAGCCAGGTATTCTCATTCTAATCCAGGCCAAGGTGAATTAGAGAGGAGAGAGGGTATTAGAGTGACCTGAATTTCTACAAGGGCCTCCAAGTTGATAATAAGCGTAAATGTGTGCGCAAGTGCTCTGCAGTAAACTATCTACAGTGGAAATGTATTATTTGACTTTTTGAAGAGTTCGATGTTAGCAACCTCTGTGATACTATAAAGAGATCCAACAAAGACTGCTTATTGGAAAATTACAATCTGTGTGGATGGAAATACTAAACTTCACAGTAAGGTCACATAAGCAAATATTTTCTTTTTCGATATCCTAGTGCGAAATGTCCCAGCTCTCTACATTTTTGTACTCGATATTCTGTCTGTCCACAATATTCACTAGTAGACAGCCATTCCCTCTTGTGTTTTTCGGTGTTAAGCAATGTACCACTGATATGCATTCTTGTAAGTGAGGCTCACTACAATACCATTACATTATAACAAACGCATGCCTAGTTTTTGATGAAGTCCTTCTACACATATTATAATAATTTTTTCAAAGTCTTGGGAGAAACGCTACTGAAGACCAAGACATTGATTATCTCTTTTTTGTGACTGGTCTGAAAATTCTGCCCATATTATATATATATATATATATATATATATATATATATATATATATATATATATATACATTGCCCACTGACTGAACTAAATGGCAGGCTTCTGGAAATCTCCTGATATTCTTTGTATTTTTTCCACATACTTTATTCACATTCCCACAGTTGAATCCATGATTGAAGTTGTTTGCACACACTGCCACGAATGAAGGTTATTTTGTTTTCGACAGAAAGTGATTCAGAAATGATGGGAACGATTTATAGCTCATGAATTCACAAAGTTAGTACTGAGGATGCCACAAAGTGTCGTGATGATACGTCCACGACAATATGTAAAGATCCTTGAGAATGTCAAACTATCATGAAGCTAATTCAATGTGCCAAGTAGAAGTATTTTAACAACGAAAAGGTCACACAAAAACATTCCAAGAAAGTCAAAGTAAATTTCAATGGAGGTAGTAGTGACGTAACTAACGAAATATTTAAACACAACTCAGACCATTGGAGTAAGCTAATGTGGTACTTGAAGAGAAATTCCTATCACCAATCTACTTTTGAAAGCTTTTGTTGTTGATGACGAAGTCTAGAATAAGTTTAACCTTTACCGATCATTCGAATTAGGATAGCTCCAACTGGTGAGCCTCAAATAAGCCGAAGTGCACCATCTGGATCTCGCTCCTAGTCACCAGCAAGAAAATGGCATTGAAGGCAAACTCAGATTAACACCAAGGTGCCCGTTCAAATGGATCACTTCGGTTCAGTTAGTTGAATAAAGGAGAAATTACAAGTCCACTTAAGTAGCATTCGGAAACACCTCACTTCATTTAAGTGCTATGCTGTTTATTCGCTTGAAATTTAGAATGAGACTGAATATAATTTATTCGATATTTTAATCACAATCACCAATTATTGATTAATTGAATACCGTTTGTAATCTGACTGCAACGATCTACAGTTGCAGAATGTCACATAATCTAGGTGCTTATTTGCGACTGAGTTTCGACAAACAACTGATTTATGTGACATTGTTATTCACAGACGCTTATCCTGAAGAAAATTCAATTCAGTCGAACTATGGACTGTTAATTAATACATACCTGATTTTGACTAGTTGAAAATATGTGATTGAAGAGCCTAAGAAGGATATCGCCTAAAGTAACTTTGAAGGGGAATTCAATGCTTTTGTGAAAGATTATAAAAAATAATTCATTGTTGTTCATGATGTGGATATCAAGGAAGATCTGAAATTTTCCCAATATACACCACTAACCGAAGTGATTAGTTTTAAACCACTCACACTAAAATGTATTACGAGATGATGTTGGTCTGAATCACGAACAACTGTTTTATTTACTTGGTAATAAGCTCATCAGCCGTGTATCAGGACTGGTTCGGTGGAGACAACTGAGTTGATCAAACCATACCAATCTCAGGCTGATTTAACTCCATCAGAGAATCTGAAATTGAGATGATGCTATCATACAGTGCTGATTTTTTGTTTGTCTCTTTAGTATTTTCACAAAACTATGTGTACTTCTAACTGTTAAGTTTTATCTATTTACCGTCTACTTTCTTTCATTGTTTTCAACTATACTACTAAATTCATTTTGCTTTTTACCATATAGATGCATGTCAAACAAAACAATGTAAATATTATGCTATATGTCAGTTAAGTGCATTTGGTGAACCACAATGTATTTGTCCAACGGACTGTCTTTATGTAAGTTTCATTCTTGATACTCTTGATAAGCTTTATTGCAGTTATTTATCAATGATGCTTTTTATGGGGAAATTAGGTGTGTACGTGAAGCTTGATACTATTGACATGTGACAATATTTGAACCAATTGAAAGATCATTGTTAATGACTGAAACAAGTGTTCTCCGTGTTAGTCACCAACGCTGGCCTTTATTAAATGCTGGTGCAGTTGCGGAGAGACTTTAAAGACCATCCTAGCAACTGCTGAAATGACCAATCAGGGTTCTGCATTTCCATATTAGATTTGTTTGTTTGATTTATCTTACGAAATATACTCATTTATTCATTAACAAGAACAAGGCATGTATTTGATTTATAATACACAGTGATCTAGTATTTTTTACTTGGTGACATTTCGAGCATAAATTACCATTCCTCATAATCATATCAATGTAATCACACTACTTTCTATATCTGATTTTAATAGTTATATCACCTTATATTCTTTACTTTTATTGGTAACAAAATTTTCCATATCTCTGGTATAGGTGTTGCGTCGTTTCTATTGCATGTGTTGGGTGTTGATTCGATGAACAAAGATTCAGTAATCAATCTCTCTCTCTAACTAATTCTATTGGACTTAAGTACATTGGCTTTATCCCACCCTATTGTGTGGTTGTGTGCTAATGCATACGTAGCAATAGCCGAGATTTTTCTAGATTATTAATCTTATTTAGGTCTGTTATTCTATATTTAGCTAAATTCCTATGTTCCGCCGACCGACTAGTTTGACCTATATACTTGACCTCACAGTCATTACATGGAATTTGATTGCCTATATTATTTTGCTTACTTGGTTCCATCTGATCCTTAAGCCAGCCGACAAAGTTTATCTCTGAGTGAGTTTGTGGGTTTAAGTGCCACCCTAATTCCAGCTCTGTTGAGGATTCTACGTAAAGTTTTTGAGGTACCCTCCTTATAGGGTAACACAATGGAGGCTGTAAAATCCTTTTTACTCGTGTTGTCGTTATTAGTCGCACTCGTGTGACTGTTATTTTTCCTTTTTTTGTGTGTCCGTAAGAATTTCCTAATAAACTGTAGAGGATAATTACTAACTATTAGTGCTTCTTTTGCGCGTTTCAATTCCTTGTTTAGGTTCTTGCTCTGACTAGTCAGTTTTCTAGCTCTATCACTTAGACATTTGACTAAGTCTGCCTTAGGTGACATTGGATGGGATGATTTGAAGTCTAGATATCTGTTGAAATGTGTTGGTTTTCTGTAGACAGTAGTATCCAAGCCACCGTCTGTTCTTCATTTTATTCTGCAATCCAACATAGATAATTCTCCTTGTTCTCCTTGAATTGGATTGCGTTTACTATTGAGTTTATATGCATGAGGAAATTGTGGATATTTTCCGATTTCAACGCAGCAAATGTGTCATCCACGTATCGCCATCATATTTTTGGTGCAAGACTAAACGTTTGTAAAGCCATGTTTTCTCAACTATCCATAAACATACCTGCTACGATTGGGGATATTGGCGATCCTACTGCTACTCCTTCTGTCTGTCTGTATATTTTGTCCTGAAACTTGAAGACTGTACAGGTCAGGCATAACTGTATGCCTCATATGATCTCATCAACCGATATCTTAGTTGTATGAGCAAGTTCTGAGTCAATATTTAGTTGACTTCTGGCTGCCTCCAGTGCCATATTGATTGGTATTTTAGTATACAGACTAGTTACATCGAAGCTAACCATTTTTTCATTCTCTTCGATGTGTAGGTCATTAAGCTTAATTTTTAACTCGCAAGAGTTTACTAGTCTGGAATTTGAACGGTTCCTAATAGGGTATAATACCGAAGCTAAATACTTTGCTAGTTCAAATGTTGGGGTATTTCTGAAGTATTTCGCCTAGGAAAGTACTTTTCCATAAAATAAAAGAAGGTAATTGGCTACTTCATCAGTTACTAGGGTGGCCTTTAAAGTCACCCCAGTTGCGGCATTTAGCTTTCAAATACGCGGTCATGGATTCAAGCCAAATCAATTCAGTATCTAAATCTCAGCCAATTTTTATGCTCTCTTACCGAAAAGCTTGACACTAGCATACAACAAAGACTTATCAGTTAAGTTCAGTAGAATCTGAATTAGTAGAGTATTAAAATGATTGCTGGTGAGTTCATGCCTGAAGGGGAACACTGCCATCTACTTCCATCCACGTATATTCATTTGAACTAGCTAAAAACGATCGTCTTGAATTTCGCTACTTGGAAATGTAGTTATCTTTACTAACTATTCAGTTGATATTCTATTCATCTCCCAGTTACATGTAAGACTTCTTCAAAGCATACATCCTCAAACATCCTATAGAAAAAAATCAGTATCTAAAGTTGTCCAAGGCATTTTGACAAAATGTCACTTCAAAGTAAACTGAAGATGAAAATTACCACCCTGACTGTAAGTCATACTTTCGAAATTGAAGCAAAAGAACTGAGTTTTGCAACCAGTTAACAGTCTCCAATCTTACTTCAAGATAAATCAGTTTTCCCAGCTTAAATATTGAAAAGGGACGACTTCAAAGACCACCATAGCAACGATCAAATATCCACTTAAGTTAAGTCATAAAACAAAGAAGTGTAAATGGTTATTTCAGTTGTTGCTAGGGTGGTCTTCAGAGTCACTTGTGAAAATCAGATCAAGAACTGGTCACAAAAGAAGGATTTATCATCGCGAATGAATGATTACTATTCCTTTCTTCTTAGCATACACATCCGTCTCTCACGCTCAATATGATTTTTATTTACATCTGCCCTGAACAACTCTTAGAGAATAGTATTTTGTCGTGAGAACCAGATTTCGATTTAAAGTATGAAAACTGATTTCTCCTATGAGACAAAAATACACCTTGAAAATATTAAGTCACGTAATCATAGAACAGCGTTTTCAAAGCATACTAACCTGATCAAAACGCAACAGATGGATTACTTATTTCCCCACAATATAACGATTACTTGTGGTTACATTCTGGTGTTAGCAGTTGCTCCACTCTTCATGAGATACATACTGTTTATTTGTTTGTTGGATGTGACCAGAGGATTATACTACTAGACCTCTTGGTTTCCTGTTTGTTGACACTGGTCAGTATGGTGGGTACACAACCTCAGGAAGACTGATTTCCTCTTTGGGGTTCGACTCTGTGTCACACAAGGCTGCAGTCACCAACGTTACCAAAGAGGTAATCAGGCCATTTACGGATAAACCCTAAGTTTGGTTCACTGTCAACCCCTTTCTACCATGAAAGATGGCTTTCGAACGGAACAATATTCCTAGACGCAGAAGTACAATTTATGATCAGAAAAAAATAGAATTTAAAATAAAATCACTATATAAAAACAACACCCTTATTCTGCATGTTTTGGTGCGTTTTGCTGGGTATACTGTAAATTGATTTCCCTGTACTTTATACTTTTTCCTTTTGTTTTGCATTCTTTTCTCCAAGACATTCACCAATCTATTGTGATCATTCCTTGCCTTTTTCTCTATCTCAGTGCATACTACTTACATGCATCCTAACAAGTAGCCTTCATTGTAACATCCACTTTTCTTATTATTTTCTCTTTCTTAGGTCAGAAAGCCTGTTTGTGGAACTGATGGTAAAACTTATGAAAATGAATGCTTTTTGAAAGTTAAATCGTGCGCTGATCAACGTGAAGTGCATGTAGCGCAAGAAGGATACTGTCGTAAGTGATTGTACCGGTTACATATTTTCGAAATACCTCACATTAGATGCTAACCTCATCATTAGTGTGTAATGTTTGGAGACCTAAGAGAAACTGACAGCTGTTAAACCCAGCCTGGGACTGGTCAGTAATGAGTATACGTTCACCAACATGTGTTCACGCCTACAACCTTAAGGTTTTACTATGAGCACATTACCGTTTAGTTGTTGGGTTGCAGGCAAATGGTCCACGGACAATAACTTCATTTATTACTCCCTGCGACTTTGTCTGTTCACCAAATTAGAAGTTATAACAAACACTGATGGATAGATGGATGATGATCACTTCGTTTTACTAAAGAATCATTGTGAGACCCTAAAATTCCGAGTCCAATTTCAAATGAGTTGTTGTGCACATACTACTTAGGATTCGAAAAAAACAATACACAGCACTGTTTTTGAGCGCTTCTCTACCCGACATTATTTTGTTACAATAGACAAGATAAAATCCAACCAACCTAACATTTTATTTGCCTAACTTCTCTGTTTAACAATAAGTTACGTCTCTATTTCTATCAAGTCACCTCCCATTATTTGAGTATGAACTTTTTGTAGTACTTAGAATGTTACCCACAATCGCTGTAAAAAAAGAGATAAGATTATCAGTTTCCATTTTAGTTTAATCCAGCTGACACTAGCTGTTTAGACAGTTGGATTAAGAGGAACAAAACGCTCTTGAACTTGACAAATATAGGTTATAAACACGGTACGTTTATTTGTACACAGTTTTGATACTTTTTTAAGTAGACAAGATAGGTAAACTCTGAGAAGCCTGCTCATTGTCAACAAGAAACCAGCGTCTAAAATGGATTGGAATAATTGGTGAATTTACAACAAGTGCAAAAGGACCAGGAAGAAAAATTGAAGTTCATAATTTATAAACCTATCAACCACCGAATGGTGACTTATGTCACTGTCAAGTTCCGTCGTTTGACTCTTAACGTTAAACAGCAGAGTAATTTATGAATCTATGAAACAAACACATGAGATAGATGGAATCTCACTTTATATGTCTTAAAATATGTATCTTAATATATGTTGCAGTGGTGTGGGCTTGTTTGTACATAGTTACCTTCAAACTTCAAAATACCTCCCTGATTTTTTGTTATATTATCCGGGCTCTCATATCCCTATTTATTTTCTTTCATTTCCATTTTATTGCTGTTGAAAAAAGTGTCAAAAGATGAATCTGAAGATTATGTATTACCGTAGGTGAGTTTTATATGTCAGCTGGTATCAGTCAAGGATGACCACTCTCTTCATCTTCACTTGACCTGTCACAGAGAAGATTATGGAAGTCTTCCTATCCTTGTCCTATCTAACAAGGAATCCCCTTTTAAATATTTGGGGGAAATGGCTGATTTCAAAGTAGCAGTCATCACTGACTGACGTCAGTCGAAGAATCATTGAAGGCGTGAAAATTCATAACTTATAGGGTTAACAAAGTTGGGTATGAGGACAAATACTCGTCGATCGTATCGCATGATGGTCTTGGTATACCGTGAATTGATAGAAGTAGGAAATGTGTACAACTAAATTCTGATCCAGTGGCGGAATGGTAATGTGATCATCGCGGACCTAGTAGCCCTGAGTGTGTAGTCCTCAGAAGTCCCATACTACAATAACAACTGTCTATTGATCCCGTGATTTCAATGAAATTATAACTGGTTTCATTTCAAGATGAATACTATCTTGACCTAGCACGGACTGACCTCATAACGAAAAAACTCCTTCAAAGACCTAGGATATCAAGACGATATAGCTGCTAGAGAAAATACTGGCAAGATTTAGAGTGCTTTGGACAGAGTAACTAACAAACGAGAATATTTGGTATGTGTTTCTTACCACTCAGATGAAAAGTATAGCTTCAGGACCAGTCTGTGTTGACATGGCTTTTGATAAAAGGGAATGGAGTCACTGAGTGCGCTAATCATTTCACTTGCTTAGGAAGTGGGATCAGCCCTGAAGAGTCAGTGACCAACGAAATCTCTGTACGGAGGTCAAGAGCTGCCTTGTCCTCAGTCAACTAACCCCACTTAGACATTCATTTCCGTGTTAAGGATCAAACGTACTGCACAGCAGTTCGTTATGTTCTATCATATGACTACAAAAGATGGTCGCTGCAGGTAGAAGACATAATAGGACTTCAAATATCCGAGGTTGTGAGCCTTCACCAACTTGAGTGGTTGGGATATGTATTCAAAATGGCTAGTTACCTTCTACCAAAATGCGCGATTGAACTGAAATATGTTTATGCTGGGAAAAGACTCAAGCTGACTACAGTACACCGTGGCATTAGTTCATGAAGTCGCTGATTTTGATTTTAGCCATATAAGCAAACTTTGACTTCTCGACTGCAGTCCACGTGACAACTGAAGTCGGAGGTTATAGTATATACGCGACGTGGCTCAAAATCGATCTCAACGGTTCAGATGTGTGGTCTTCACATTATCTTCACCTAAATAGTCAAATCATATCTTTCACATTCCTCCCCGTGACCTACCACTACTGTGACTGCATTCTCTTTCTCTTATGCTCTAATTTTCATGATGCTGCCTTATATTTATTGTGGGCTGATATGCGATGTGGCAACTTGTATCACCATGTGCTAATGCCAGGTCCCATGTTGGTATTGGATAACTGATTGACTAACTGCCATGTATCATTTGATTATCCTTTATTCAGACAGTATGGTTATCACAAGTCTGAAAAGCTGTAATATCTGTTATACTTTAGGGATGTTCGAAACAGTTAGTGGCTTTTATGAATTTATATAGTCTAATTAGAAGAATTTTATCTGAACAATGTGTGATTCATATTTGCGCAATACATTTCGAAAAATCTGATCACACATTTGCTTGTCAAGTCAATTTATATTAATCCGAAGAGTGGGAGGACAAGTGTAACAATTAGGATAAAAAGGGGATTAAAATTAAGAAAAATGAGAACAGAACAGCAGAGTGAGGTTACTATCCAGGAAGAGATCAACGCAGATGCAACCAATGAGAGATAGTGAAGAAAAGCTAGTTACCAAAGAGGAGAAACGAAGGAAACAATGGGCTGACCATTCCAACAAACACTTGAATAGACCACCACCCCCACCACCTGCAACTCGTGCAGAAATACCACCAGCAGCCCAACCACAGAACTACCAGTGAACACAGGCCCTCCGACAAAATCAAAAGTCCTGAATGCCATAAAACTGCTGAATTTCGGGAAAGCAGCAAGACCAGATGGAATTCCGCCGGAATCACTGAAAACAGATACACAGACAACAGCAGCGAACACGCTCACACCACTACTGCAGAAGGTTTGCAAGGAAGAAAGTAAAGGTACCTAGCGAGTGGAAGAAGGGCTACCTTGTCAAACTCCCGAAGAAGGGCGACCTAAGTATTTGCAAGAACTGGCACGAAATCATGCTGTTGTCCACCCCAAGCAAAATGTTAAGCTGCATAGTCCTGGAGAGACTAAAGGATGCGCTGAGTTTAAAATTACTACCGGAACAGGCTAGATGGCTGTCTTCAGGAAGTACAAATTATGTGAGGACCAAATTGCAACGCTACGCTTCGCACCACCATAAACAGAGTATAGAATGGCAGTCTACTCTCTACCTCAACTTTATCGACTTTGAGAAGGCCTTCGACAGCGTCGACCGAGAGGTAATTTGGAAACTGCTTCAATACTACGGAATACCACAAACCTTTATCAGCCTCATTCACCAACTATATGAAGACTCCATATGCCAAGTAATTCACAAAGGGAAGTTCAGTGACGCCTTTGAAGTGAAGACAGGAATAATACAAAGCTGCCTACTATCACCCATGATCTTCCTGATTGTAGTGAACTGGATCATGCAGCAAACTGTAAGGAGCTGTGAGAAGATGGGCATACACTGGCTGGACCTATGAAAAGAGCCTAGGAGATTTGGATTTCACCAATGATTTGTGTCTAATATCACACAAACTCGGACATCTACAGGCAAAAACTAACAAGTTGGCAGAAGAGGCAATGAAGCGAAGACGGGACTTCAGATGGATGTAGAAAAGACGGAGGTGATGATGGTACCCAACCAACAACAACAAGCACCAACCACCATCAACGGGAGAAGCCTAAAGGAAGTAGTCTCTTTCACTTACCTCAGCAGCTTCGTTTCAACTACAGGTAGCACAGATGAGGATGTCAAAGCAGCCAGGATCGGAAAGACAGCAAGACAGGCTTTCACTAGTCTGTAATCAGTGTGAAGATCTACTACACTCAGCATAAAGAACAAAATCCTGATTTTCAACACCCATGTCAAGTCAGTGCTCCCATATGGTTAAGAAACTCGGAGCGTCACGAATGGCATTTCCAACAAACTACAGGCATTCATCAACAGCTGCCTCCAACGCCCTTTCGATACTCAAGATCAGAAAGAATAAGCAACAAGGAACTCTGGGAACGAACCAACCTAGAACCTATCACTCAACAAGTATGCAGAAGGAAGTGGAGATGGATTGGACATACACTGAGAAGACCGATTGAGGATATCACGCACCAGGCCAGGCCCTCGAGTGGAATCCAAAAGAGAAACGATGAGTTGGGCGTCTGAGCCGAGGGTGACATGGAGGAGATCATGTGAGGAAGAAATGAAATCATGTGGGCAGTCGTGGAGCGAGGTTGAAAAGACTGCAGAGAAGAGAGTACAATGGAGGCGTGCTACTGAAGCCCTTTGTTCCAGTAGGAACCAAAGGGAAAAATAATAATAATATATAATTGATAAAGAAACAAAGTTTACTTAGGTAGGTGTAGTGTAAGAATAAATTGTTTTTGTACACATAAAGCTGGTTTAAACTTGTGTATGGCTGTCGATTCCGTAAATCTTAGTATGTGTCCATGACCCGTTTCTGTAATATATTTACCTACAGGTGAAGATAGTCGCCCCCCCCCACCCGCTTTTATCAAGGTTTCACAATCTGTCTATTT